ATCGCTCCGCTCAGAATCTTGAAAAAGGTTAATTTTACAAATGCAAAACTTTCATCATTAATTAAACTGAGTTCATTTGTATACATTACAATTATTGAAGATGGATTTTTATAATATCAGCTTGGTAATAAGTAATAACTACTAATAACTAATAAGTAATAACTAGGGCTCAGATTTCAATACATTTGCATCTTTTTTTGGGGATGTCATACGCCAGTCCTGTAAAGTATTTGAGTAAAAGTATTCATATACTTTTTTTAAGTATTGAATAATTTTTCAATACTTTYAACATAAAGTATTTAGAATGGTATTTTAAATACTTTTTTTTTGTATTGAATACTTTTAATTTATTTTTGATTAATTTATTTTTATTCAAAATATTTGGTTGGAAAAATATTATTGCCAAGTACCAACTACAATAATTTAATAATAGTTTTATTTAATATTCTGTATTTCTGTGTTAGTCGAAGCCCAAAGATTTCTAAAAATAGATATTCAATAACAATATTTTCTTTTGTATTATTAGATAGGTATCTAATAGTTGATCTGTGATATTATCAGATATAATACCTACTTTTAAYGGTTATGCGGCATTATGGGAATAATATAGATTGATCCATTATATAGCTGCAAGCTTTCAACATTTTATTTAATTTATTAATTTAATGACTTGTGTAATGTCTAGTTGGTAGTTGAGTAGTTCGWAAATGTGAACAATGTATCAGTCTGTTGAAAGTGTAATTTTTAGTTTTTACAGTGAATTAATTACATAATTAAAAATTAATTATCTATTTTGAGTTTTAATATGAGTAATTCTAGGCATAAAACTGAATTTTTAAAACATTATATTTCTAAAATGTAATTAACATTTATTTAATAAATAAAATAAAAATGATTATAAAGTATTTAAAAAATTGTATTTAAATAGTATTTCATACATTTTAATGAATTTAATAAAAATACAGTGTCTGCTATTAGTAATGAGTAATGACAGTAAGTGTAATTGCACTTCTATTTCTTCATTACAACAAGTAAAATATCTAGGTATTACTATAGATGCTAACCTTAAATGGAAAAATCATATAATAAATACAACTAGAAAGATCAGACTATTGTTCTATAAATTTAAAACTCTTAGTAACATACTATACCCACCACAATGAGAATGATTTTCATAGCTATGGCCCAGTCAATTTATTCATATGGTATGCAAGTTGAGGCGGTG